GCCTTCGGTGGGAAATTATGTCTTGTCTACAACACATCTGTGTCTGTTTGCTGGGGCTGTGGCCACAAAGTACTATGAACTGGCCTAAACCACCAAAATGTGTGAAAGGAAGAAACTTTTGCTGAAGCATGCTTCCTCTTTTTTTTTTTTAATTGATTTTTAGGGAGGCGGGGAGAGAGAAACATTGATGTGAGAGTGAAACAATCCATCAGCCATACCCCAGCATCCGGGATTGAGCCCGAAACCCAGGCATGTGCCCTGACTGAGAATTGAACCGGCAACCTTTCGGTGCACAGGACAAGGCCCAACCAACTGAGCCACACCAGCCAGGGCTAACCCACAGCAGTTTCTATCACAGTTCTAGAGTCCTGGACTCCAAGATCAAGGCCACTTCTGAGGGCTGTGAGGAGGAGTCTTTTCCGCGCTTCTCTCCCAGCTCCTGGTGTTTTGCTGGGAATCTTGTTCCTTGGCATGTGGAGGCGTCACACCAGTCTCTGCCTTCATTGTCACACGGCGTTCTCCCCACATGAGTCACTGTGCCCAAAGTTCCACTTTTTTTTAATATATATTTTTATTGATTCAGAGAGGAAGGGAGAGGGAGAGAGATACAAACATCAATGATGAGAGAGAAAAATTGATCAGCTGCCTCTTGCACGCTTCCTACTGGGGATCAAGCCCTGGGCATATGGCCTGACAGGGAATCAAACTGTGACCTCCCGGTTCATAGCAAGGTCAACGATCAGCCACTGAGCACACCTGCAGGGCAGGAGGCCCCAGACTGATCCCTCACCCGACCCCTGCTCTTGGAGGACACAGCGGGAGGTGCTGGCTGTGAACCCCGTAGAGAGCCCCACTCCCTCAGGCTGGCACCTTGGTCTTGGCCTCCCAGCCTCTAGAACTGGGAGCAATCCCTTTCTGTTGTCCACGAGTCTCGCAGTCTGTGCATTCATGTCGCTCTCCTTGGAGTTTCGAACAAAGTCCTGGCAGTTGGACCTGACAGCATGGGGGGCGGGCTGTCCAGCGGTTTGCATCTG